GTGAAGCACTAAAAAGTAATCGCCATTTCCAGTTTATATTTTTTTTTTAAGAGAAATTTTACTTTATGTCCTTTATTGAGTTTTAAAGTATTCTTTTAGGCAGGAAAATGCTATAAAGTTGGCAGACATGTAATAATTATTTAACAGGAAAATACTGAATAACCGTTACTATTAGGTCTTAATAAAACTTTGGTATATACAAAAAGCAACCTATTTTTCTAAAAATTCTCATGTGGGTTTAAAGTGGAATCTTCACTTTGGTTTAATAAAAGCAGGACAGCTAATGGGCTTCTTAAACGCTTCTGAAGCATCTTCTATAAACGTGAGGCAAGAAGCCCATTTGAAGACTTTAAGTTTACATGGTTTTGCTTTTTGGCCTCTCAGTGTTTCTATGTTTCATCTCTTCTAGTTAGTGGGTAAAATATAAGGGTCTTAACTGGTCATTAACCTTTTAATCACATCCATCATTCTACAACAGCATACACTGACAAAGCTCTGAAAAGATGAGAGTTCATTCCAAGAGGCTAGCTTAGACCTCCCTGGCTTCCTCCCAGGGGAATGGCTTGTCTTCCCTGGGACACTTGCCAGGAACGTAGCACATTTGTACCTTTTCCTGCACAAGTGGCCTGACACTAACTGACTGAGTCTCCTCAAAGTCCACTTACTGTGTGATATCGCCAATCCACTAAACCTCTTGACTCTGGGGTTTACCCGGTACGCTGAATTTACCTCCAGACTTCTAAGCGAGCGTGAAGCACAGATTTGAGCAAATGTAATATAAACAGTACAATTTACCCACATCATGGGATGTGAAAACAGCAGCTCTGCACTTCCAGTTCCCCCTGTCTGTTTTGTCTCGTTCCATCTTTTACCTTGGATATCATTACATTAATATTTAACATATCCACGCTCCACCGTGGAGTTGAGTAAATTAAGAAAGGCAGTTAATTCCTAATGTGGCACATCTGTCTGAGGGGACGCCAACACAGCGTCCTGCAGTTAATGAAGGATATTGCCTTAACAGCGCCTGACACAAGTCATCCGTTGTCATGAAGACAGTGTATGTGAGAAGGAAGTCATCAAGGAGGGTCTCTGCAAAGAAAGAAAACAAATAATACAAGGTAAGTAAAGTGGTGACAAGAAGGGCAGCTGCTGATCCAGGCCCTAGAACAGTGTGGGTGGCAGAAATAGGATAAATGATGACGGCAGTAGGAGGGGTTAGAAAAGAAGAATTTTAGCCACAAAATACATTTATTAAAGTTAAGATTTAAAATCTCCTCTCATAGAATGCCTCGAGCAATGAGATATTTTTTGTTGCAAGGCTCTCTAAACATACAACTTTATCATTTTTTTTTTTCTGAAACCTCATTTATATTTGTGGGTATATATATTATGGAAAACCGATGCATAAATAATGTGCTTTAAAAAATGAATTTTATAAGATTTCTGAGGTAGACACTCCCATCCTACAGGGAATGAAGCCTTCATGTCTAATAAATTAAGGTTTTCCAAAGCCATTTATTTAAATCTAGGGCAAGAACAATGGATAATAAAACCCAGAAGATACATATCGGGTTCCAAGGCCATTTACCTTTATCTTTCAAATGCATCTATAAGAAGTTGAGAAAGTGATGAGTGATTTTCTTACGACTGTGTAGAGAGACAGAGCTAAATCCAGTCAAAATTGGAAATTATCTACCTTATTTGACTGTAGGTCATGAGCCCCCTGTTCCAGAGAGGGCCTTGCCCCACACTCAGAAGGGAGGAATGTGTGCTCAGAGAGGCGGGGAAGAATCTAGACAGATAGGCCTTGCTGAGTTTCCCCAACTCAGTCTACTAGCATCAGATGAAAAAAAAAAAAATTGGATAGCAGGTACAACATATCGCAATATGCTTCTTTCTAATTTCTTCTTTTTACCAACCCAAACTGGTCCCACTTTTATCACCTCTTTTCCTCGAGTGTTCTTGAAGAGTCCAGTTTACAAATAATAGGGAGCTGCTAAACGGGCAAACTCTGACCTTCAATATCATTTCCAAAATGATAAATTATATGCAGAATCCAAAGTAGTGATTTTTGCCATAATAATTTTACCTAGTCTCCTTAACTTAAAAATCATTTTACTATATGATTGAATTTTCATATCTTTTACATTCTGGACATCAAATTTTTAGTTATATAAAGTAGTAATAAATTCTAAGAGTAATGAGGCTTGTATACTGTTATGGACTTGAACACTTGTGTCCCCTGATCCCCACCACTCCAAACCTCACCCTTTCATGTGATGGTAGCAGGATGTGGGGCATTTGAGAGGTAATTAGAATTAGATAAGGTCATGGGGGTAGAGCCCTCATGAATGGGATTAGTGTCCTTGTAAGAGTCCTGAGAGAGCTTGCTTCCTCCCTCTATCATGTTAGGACAAAAAATGAGAAGACTGTAGTCTGTGAACCAGGTAGCAGGCCCTCACCAGATGCTGAATCTGCTGGCACTGTGATCTTGGACTTCCCAGCCTCCAGAACTGCGAGAAATAAATGTCTGTTGTTTAAGCCATCCAGTTTGTGATATTTTGTCATAGCAGCCTGAGCTAAGACATTTACTCAATAGTACTTATGCTCTCAAGATCTACACATTAGAAAATTGTAAGTAAAAAGAATTGCCTGGTACAGAGCTCTATAGCTCTATGTTGAAGATGGGATGAAAGAAAAATTCCATAACTTTTAGGAATTACCAGTAATAGTTACTTTAAAAGTTCATCAATGAGCACAACAAGGTTATATTTATGAACACAAAACTCTGATATGAGAGGTTGCAGATGACATCTACAATTCTATATTAGTTGCAGAGGTTAATGTATTTCTATGTTTGCTTGGTTGCAGAACATCAAGACAATCCTGATCTATACAGATAAGTGGTAATTTTTTTTTTAATAGCTTGCTTTTTAATTGCCAGATGCCCTTAATTAAAATGAACCGAAGGTCTTAATGAAGAGTATTAATGGAATTTCTTTGAAAGATATTTATATATGGTAAATAATACTATTCCTTATTAAAATAATAAATCTGGCAAATGACATGCACCTAAAACATTAAAAAAAAAAAGCCTAAACTTATAATGTTGTATCACACTGCAGTACATTAGCAATCACTAATCTAACTTACTATTACTCTATGGCAAAAGCAAGTTCCCAAACAGATGTACCTGGGCCTTGCTGGGCTTAAATTAAACCCAGTACAAGAAAGCTGTGGTAGCGTGCCTGATCAGACAATTTCATGTGCAGCCTGCATACACAGAAGAGCTACAAGCTCCCTGTAGAGGCCCTGTTTATGAAAGTTTCAAATATATGCACAAGGCAGGAGAAGCTTTATTCTAAACATGTGTCTCCAAACTAGTTAACCTGGCAGCTCGAGTTAATCACCACTCATCCTAATGAAAAATTTGGAATATATAGTGTCTTTTATTATGGCTTTTAAATAGTTTAAATTAAAATTCACCATTTGTATAATGTCTGAAACCCTAGGATATTTTGGAAATACAATTTGAAAACTATCCCACTGGGATGCTGTTGAATAGTAGTGTTCATAAATTGTAACATTCCTTTGTGCTAAATGTAGTTGATGAAAATCCTCAAACTCTCTGGTCTGATTCGAAATTAAGGGGAATCTTCTCTGCAATCAATGTTGGATACAGGCAGCAAGGACAACAGAGTAGCCTGGAATCTATTTTAGGGTTTTCAATGGGCTCTTACAGATAGGAGCCACCAATGTGTAGAAACCACTGGATGACAGCATTGAGAACGTCACATGTTCAGCATTTAAACTGTTTGATGTGACATACAAGTTCAGACTCTATGAGATGTTCGTATACTTAGCTGCATTTAATGAGGTTGGAACTATTCTCTAATCAAGATTTACTCCATTAGTAGCTGAGATTAAAAAGAACACCATTAACTTTGACATAACCAGTTATTCCATCCCAGGACAACCTTAGATAATGAACTGAGTGACTATGAGAGTCTGGCTGGATGGTGTCAAATCTATTTGGCATTCAATTCAATTAATTAGCTCACATATAATAATGTTTTCTTAAGGACTTTGACCCAGGAATGTTTATTTTCCCCTAAGCTACTAGAATATTTAACATTTAACAGCATTTACCTAATTATCTCTCTGCCACAGAAATATTAATTAAAATAAAAACAATGAGGCTATATAAAAATATCTCTACTTAAAATCCTAATAAATAGTTAAAAATTCTAATAACTAGCACAGATTCCCAATACTCCTAACTAAAATCTTTCTCCATTTAAGTACCATATTCTTCTGATAATTTTCTCTAAAGAGCATTCCTTTATTCTTTTCTCTGCATTGTTTTTTCTCTGTACAGACTCTGAAAGTAATTGAGTGATGTGAACAAAAAAAACCCATAATCAAAATGATGCATTCTAAATAAATGTGCATTTTATGATAGTCATGCTTCAAAAAAAAGCTGTCCCATTGGTATTTAGAGATGTTTTCAGAACCACAATGGCTATATGAATGATCCCCTGAAGACTATTAGCCAACAGCCATTTAGAAAGACTAGCAAATCCACTAACATCCAAATTAAAACACAATAATTATCTATTATATTAAATACCAATTAATAGTAATTTAAGACTACAGGCAGAAAAGCACTTTTGCATATATAAAGGTATCTTTCATTTAAACAAATTCATAGTTGCCTTATATACTAACATTTTGAACAAAAAAGTATGCATTTTATTAAGTAAATATTAAGTATTAATATAAAAAAATTTTCAGTGGAATTCTTTTCATCAAATTAATAAATCTAATAACAAATTCTTGGCTTATCACTAAACTTTTGGGAAAATCTTCTCCACTCCACCAAAATAAAAGAATATTTTTGCAGTGGCTTTTTGAATACAGGAAATACTCTTGCAGTATATGAAAGTAATCCTGATAACCCTCAAAACTGGAAGGCAAACACTACTATAGTTTTAAGTACTATGTTACTTGAAATAAAATATATCAATATGCTGTCAAAATCTGAAACCTTCATAGAAATGGTTATAAAATTCATGTCTATAATCAGCCATACTAATGTCATACAGGATTTTTCCCTATCATCTGCTATTTTAATTTTTAAGGTATAAGAAAATAATTGTCTATTTGATTTTACTTGAATGTGTTTCTCTTGTATATATCAATTAAAACGTTTTCTCAGTTTCATTTTAAGTGTATCAAGCACTAAAAATTTCCATTTTATTTCTGCAAAATACAAGTGTCTCTAGAGCATCCTAAAGTTGTGTCAAGGTGGAATAGTAAGAAGTTTGGTACAGGTCCTTTTCATAGGGTTCTATTAAGTAAATGGAACCAAATTTTTAAAACTGATCAAAATGTTACCAAAAGGTCTAAGCTTAATGCTTTTTTGGTAAAAACAAAACCCCTGATGTCTAGAAATCGTGAGGAGTATAGGGTTACATAGGAACAATTATAGAAATCTACCTCAGTTATTTTTTTCAATACTCATAAGCAAAATGCACGGCAATAATGAAACCACTCATCTGTTAAAGTGAATTACCCAAGAAAGCAAGTGAAAAGAGTTTTGGCAGGCAACTGCCTATGGTAGCCATTTAATCTAAGTATTGTAATGTGAATATTCAACATTTCTGTACTAACTCATATTCCCTGAAGTACTGTTAATAGTTTTGTTTCACCTATATTTCTACTTCAGATGCAATGGAATTTAAGGCACTCTAAAATATGTTCTACTTAACCTTTATTTCAAGGAGCCAAGAAAACTTTAAACATGAAAGGGCCCATTTCTGGTCCAGGAATGTTACAACTTACCATTATTTTTTGAGAAGCAGTGCCAAAATGTACCATGTAATTTGATTAAGCACAAATAAAATTTTTTTTAATGTTCAGGTTGGAATCATGGATTAAAGTGCAAAGCCATTAAAAGCTATGTTTCTTTCCCAGTATATCTCACTTTCTGAAAGCAATATTAATGACCTAAAATGTGGCTGTTTACCACACCTTTCAAATTCACTTAATTCCTGCCTATTTTTACAATTTCACCAGAATTTTGCTCA